ACCTCCACCTGAAGGACAAAGGACATTCTTTTGAGGACAGTGAAGTCCAGATCCTCTCCAGAGAACATCGCTGGTTTGAGAGAGGAGTTAAGGAAGCTATTTTTGTAAAAATAGAACAACCCTCACTAAATAGGGGTGGTGGACTAAGACACAACTTGTCTTCCATCTACAATCCTGTTTTGAGATCTCTGCCCAAACATGCCCACCAGGACAATAGGCATCAGTCCACAGGGGCGGATTCAAAGACAGGTAACAACTCTCACGATACTGGGCTGTAACGACTCAGTCATTAGGGGACATTGTTGGGCAACTGAAACACCACCGAGGGGGATAAATATCTCCGACTCAACACCAGTCAGTCAGAAATGATGAAGCCTCTTGAATGAGAGGTGAAACATCTTCGACCTAGGAATCTAGTCCAGTAGATTTTTTTTTCTAAGTTTTTTTGTTTTGTTTTTTTCCAGCACAAATGAAAATGCATTTAGCTCCCACTATTAGCAGCTTTCACAGCCCACCGTTATGGTTCTAAATATATAATTAGCATCATAATATACGTAACAACGTTACTTAAAATCAGGTACATCATAATTTTGTTTCATTATTTCTTACACTAATAACTAATGTTAAAATTTATGACTTAATGTTAGCTCAGAGCTTCGTTTTCTGTAATGGTAACGCCAACGTGTCTTTTCTTTAGCTGCTAATGCATTCACGTCATGCTCCCCCTGCTACTACAGAGAGGTTTTACATAGTTGACACCAGGCAGTCTTTCTTTCTGATTGTAAAATAATGTGCTCCCAAACTTTAGACCACCTGGTCGTCCACTATTCTCTGCTGTGACTTGCTCCATCTTTTAAATGCACACGTCCGGGGACGCCGTCCAGTCCAGCAGTCTTCCTCAGGTTTACAGCCCGCAGCGTGTGCCTCACCTCATACTCCCCTGCTGTGAGGGTGGGGCCGCTGTGGGCCACAGGGGGCAGTTTGGCTGCCATGTCCGCTCTTGGCTGTCTCACACAGCTACGTGATTAGACCCAACTGAGTGATAATTAAATTCGTTGTCAACTGGCTTTACTATCGATTTTGATCTATTAGTTGTTGCAGCCCTAAAATATTATTCCCATTGTATCTTTAAACTAACAGTTTCTCCTGAACTGACCCACATCCACTCAAGTTCTCCCCAGTGGAAACATGCACATCATCATTTTCCTACTCCTGTCTCCACCAGGACCAGAACACCTACCCAGCTCCTCCACACGGCCCAGGCCCCGCTAACTCTATGGCATCTGCACCTGGAAACAATGCCATCTCGGCGCAGCCTGGGGCAATCATCATGGCAGGTAACCATGGTAACGCAGCGTACCTGAGCAGCCAGGAAGCAGTGGCGGTGACACTGAAACAGCAGCAACAGCATCAGCAGCAGATCCTGGAGCAGCAGAAGCAGCAGCAGCAGCAATACATACAGAAATACATACAGAGGCAGCAGGTACCTTACACCTGTTGACAGGTGTTAATGTCTTCAGGTGGAATGAGTTAACATGCTTTTTTTAGCAAAACAGGCCACTGAATTATCTTCATGCTACATAAATAGAAGGATGAGGTTCAGTTGGTGTTTTGTTACGTTGAGAGCTGCAAACCAAGCTGATTGATTAGTTGATCGACAGAAAATTCATTTTAATGATCATTTTAGTCAAACCATGATTGCCAAAAAAAATCCCTTTTTAATTATGAAGATCTGTTGCTTTTCTTTGTCATACATGGTTGTAAACTGAGGTCTTTGGGTTTTGGACAGAACAAGACATTGTTGGTCTTGGTCTGTGGGAATTGATACATCTATAATGAGTTAGAATTAGATGAGGGCCTTTAAAAATGTTTTCTGACATGCTGTAGGCTAAAAGATTAATTGAGGAATGAATCTGCTGATTAATTGATAATGAAAATCATCATTAGTTGGAGCTCTAGTAAAAGAAAGAGGTGGAAACACCACTCAGCATCGCCCTCTGCTGTGTCGGAGGGCGTAGGCAACTCCTGCAAAGACAGAAGCCTGTGTATACAGTACAGACAGAGGAGGAGAGATGTTCGGAACTTAATCTCATTTCATTATCCCTGTAATTACCGGGAAAATTAGTGCTGGTCCGCACACTGAAATTATTAAGCTCCTAGTGTTTATGGCAGTGTTTTAAAAAACACTGCATTGATCCAAGCTGTATATCCAAACAGAGGATGACACCCCTACCTAAAGTTAAGAGAATTTTTCATGTTAAACAAATTGAAACAGTTTTTGCAGTTGCATTACACTAATCATTTTAGTAAATGGGGAGGCGACAGTGGTGCGGTGGGTAGAGCAGTCGTCTCCCAACCGGAGGTTCAAATCTCAGTGCCTGCAGTCCACATGTCGAAGTGACACTGGCCCTTCTGTCTTACCATAAAGCATTTGTTTGTTTCAGTCTTACTCTGACCTGTAGTTTCTAGGTCATAACTGTTTACCAGATGAAAATTTTGAACAGTTTTGTCTCCGTGCCTCCCAGGAAAAGCAGCGGCAGCAGGACCAGCAACTTCAGAGACACCTGACTCGACCTCCTCCACAGTACCAAGACCAGCCCGGACAA